AAAAAAAAACTATTCGTTCGAAATCCTCGAAAGATCGAAATAAATTCAATCGAAAAATCGACGTACAATATTATCTTGCCAATGTTCACACGTACGACAGAACTCGTGAAACAGGACCCGCTTTAAAAACTTTTTCTATCCATACGTATTCGGGAGAGTCACGTTTCCGTGGAAACTATCGTATAATTTCTTAAAGTAGTATATATATATATAATGGTTTCTGCCCGTACACGTGTATTGCCGCGAACGGTAACTATGATCCGTATAACACGCCCAAGCGTAACTAGGTCGTGCACCTCTGGTATCCCCTGGAATAATACAGGGTGTCCTCGTTTGAGGAAAGAAGAACTGGGTCTTCGATGTCCCTGGTTCGAATTAGAAAAAGAAAAAGAAAAAAGAAGAAAGAAAGAAAGAGAAAGAAAAAAAAAAAGATAGAGTTTTCGTTCGAATATACGACGTTCGAGGTTGGATTCTTTTCGACCTGTTCGACGACTTCCGACACGCGATACGTCCACCAGGCTATTCCTCCCGATGACGCATCGGGCATCAGAGATATCGTTCCCTCGGATGACAACGGAGGGATGGGGACGGAGGGGGATGAGGGTGATATAGGATTAAAAAAAAAAAGGGGCGCGTTTCGTTTACCGATCTCTCGATATCACGTTGCGCAAATATTATTTTCCGCCTTGAAAAAAAAAAAAAAAAAAAAAAAAAAAACGATACACGATGTGTAAAAATAGATTAAGGTTTGGACGAATCGATCTTCGATGATGGAACAACTCCTAGGAGGAGATGATCGTTCGCTCGATACAGGGATAAAAAAGATATGCGACGAGAGTGGGTCAAGGATTAACCCTTTGCGCTCCAGGCGGCGCAACCCTTTTTCCCTCGGCCGAACGATTTCCCGCAACCGTTCGATGAATTTCTTCTTCCAACTTGAAATGATTTCGCAAATTAATATATAAAATTTTTATATTTTAATATTTCACGTATGTTTGCGTATAAAGAAAGAAAATTATGGTCGAATATTGAAATCTATATCGTTGTTTTGTGCGATATTTTAATAAAATAAGGATCCAAGGTGCATCCTCGCGATATTTCGTCAGTGAGCAATATTCTTATTTTTCACCTTCTCTTTTACCATATCTCTATTCTCATCGCTGCTTTCCCTTATCCGTCAATTTCTTAACAAATAATTATTCGACATTAACGAGAAATCGAACTCATCCTCGCTCGAACTCTTTCATTTCACCGTTCGTTCCATGCTTGCCAAACTTTGAAAATAATTCGAATAGTATATCCACATTCCACTCTTTACAAGATTACACGTAAATATCTTAGCAAATCCGTTCGATTCGATATCTGAAGAGAGATCAAACGCAATAAATATAAATATCGTCGCCGTTCGAATTGCCGCATCGATCCAAATGGATGCCTGGTGAGAGTGACCATTGTGTGAAGCGCAAAGGGTTAATCCGTGAAAATTAATCGACGAATAAAACAATAATAATAAGAATAATTACACGATTGACAATCATCTTAGGAAAGAACGATCTGCGTGGAGAACTGCGTGGATCGAGGAGAGGCAATTTGGGGCGAAGGGAGGAATATTTTCGCGCGCTCGCGGAGAAGCCAATTCCAGGAAGTAACCCAATTCCTGCGGGAGGGATGACCCAGCCACGAGGAGGCGGCCGGTAGGATGTATATTCCGCAGGAGGCGGGATATA